AAACAAAAGCAAGATAGCCTATTTAAAAAAAATACAGGCAGTTGCAAGCAAGAATTCGCAACACTAGGAGATACACTAGTTATAAATGGTTTCTCTTATACAATTCAGACTTAGACTTTTTCTTTTACCATTAAAAAAAGTGAATCAGAAACATTTGTAGTGTTTAATTTGCATAACAATAAGAATGGTTGTCATGTTTTATCTAATTATCGCTTGTTTTAACACTCATTAACACTCCTATTACCGCACTAGTTAACTTGTCACAGACTTCCCCTAATGTGACAAGCAGCAAACAGGGTCTGAAGACATTTTTCATTTGTCACATGGTTTCCAGCGTTTCCTCTTTTATAGGAAATCAATTTGGCAGGTCCATAAAATTTTTTGACAAAGTACCGGTTATATGTATAGCACGTGTATGGTTTGATTGCAAGATCTTACTGTAGTTGTTGCAATATATTATGATATCATATACCCACACTTTTCGTAGTCAGTGCATAATCGGTGATATTTGTCTAATATAAAGTACAATATTCCACTGGATTAAACTCTAAATTAGCACTCTATAGAACTATTCCATCAACTACTGAATACACTCAAGACGAGTGATATTGCACTTCTAACTTGGACGCTTCCATGCAAGCGGAATAAGATACTACGGATTGAATACAGGGCATGTATCATATCTCATATAGTAAAAGTGCACGATTGTCTTTTAATTATCTTGTGATCTTGTTGCATCGATTTCATCCCTACAGGAAGCATTTGATCATAAATCACGACTTAGAATTAAGGTTAAGTATTAGTTACACAAGTTGGATTTCAGACGTCACTTGATAAAATAGACGCATTTGATATATTTTTGTATAGGTTATTTTAATGGTTCAAAATATATTCGTTGTTGCGTTCTGGCATGCAGTTACTTTTTATTGGCACTTCATTAGTAAGCAATAAAGATGATTCGATGCAATAAAATCTCGATCGGGTTTTGTTACGAATGGAACATTGTCTTTGCTAATGGCCACAGTGGCGCAATATAAAATGCTTGACAAATTTGATTAACTTTCCCGCCACGCCTATTTCGCAGTCTGATTTCTATGCTTAAGTATCGATTTAGTCAACAATAAAGAAATTGTCCTCAGTACGCTTGCATAAGACAATTGATGGGACAAAAACAACATATACTGTAAATTGAGCGAAACAGGGCAGCATGAGAAGCCGGTGCTACTTCACAATGATACGTTCCCATCAACAGAATCTGGTCAGCTTCGTTACTTCCTACGAACGCGAAGACGTAAAAAGGGGATTGCGTTCTGCTTTGGTATTTCACGCTCCACGGACTCGCTGTAGGGGTTGTTAATAGCCAAGAAGGACTTCAGCGAGGTCAACAAACGGTCAGGCGACGATAACGAGTTTCAAGAGCTGATAGAGAGTGGGAAAGAATTGCACAAACACATACCAACACAACAATTCATTTCAAAAACAAAACGAAATCGAGAACCAGTAGAACTACTTTGTTTGATTTTTATATGATTGTCAGTAAGCTCATTGTCGATTTTGACCTTCTTCGAAGTTGAGGTTTTTATATGGGATGTAGAAATATAAGGAATATGGAAATTTGATATATATTTTTTTGATTTACGCGTTCGAAATTGTTAATATCGCTTTCTTTTATATTGCACATCTCTGGAAGATAGGCTTAAAGGTGTTCATTGACTTAACCGGCACTCAAATTTTTATTGTGCGTAAATTTTATTGTTTCGGAATTATATGATCGAAACAAAATGGAGAAAAGTTGCAATGGTGAATTGATGAAGCGGAAAAAATGTCGATCGAACGCTTGTTTCCCCTTTCTTCACACTCATTGCTTTTACTTGAACTTGCGATCATACGGAACGATAACAAAATGGCGATTTTGCAGCGAACTAGGTAACTATATCTTGTAAATGTTTATTCATTGTGTAAATGGACGCCTACAGTCCATGTTTATTCTGGCAGCTTGTTTTACTTCTGGATAGACACGTCTATCATACGATAGTGTAACTACGTCTGCCGAGTTCACGTCTTCAACGATTCACGAGAGTCTCAAGACGCAGTCTGAACAGGGGAAGCTTTCCAGACTAAACACAATATCCTCGTATACGTACGTATGCAGGTATAGCATTCTCTTATAGTAGTTTAGTGAACGTATATCACAATCAGGTAGCTTTATTTTGTTGTAACGTTGGTTGGAGAGATGTCAGCTTTGATTTTATATTACTTATTGAAATAACTTGCTTGTGACCATAAAACAATGTATCACAAGGGTGGTTACCGGGACACAGTCAATTTAGTAGGCTATCCTTATTTGCAACATAAGTCAAAGAGAAAGGAAACTCTATTGTATTGTATCAACTTATCGAAGGTAATCAGGTTTGTTGGTTGGTAAAGTGACGGCTTAGTTTCGTTGACGTTATTAGGGATAGCCTATGCAAGCTCGTAAATATCACATGTTGCTTTAACAGTACCAATATTTTATCATTCAAAGTAAACATATTACGTAAAATTATATAAACTTGTACTGTAGTCCGGTCTCATATTAAGCCTACCAATCACAAATGTATCAATGATTTTCGTACGATATATTGTCTCTTTTTTATGTTAATGAAAAGGATGTTAATTCAATATTTAGAAAAGATGATTGACTTTAGACTTTGCTTTCAAAATATTCTATCTAACGCAAACAGAGCCAAGGTGTTTGCATCCTGTATGTTCCCATGTTCTGTTCGATGCACCAGTTGCTGACCTTTAACATTCTACTTTCAGGTCAATATTTAATCTGATTGTATTTCACATTACATGCCTTAGAACTTTTATAACTCAACATTCACCTAATATTTCATGAGTGATTCAGTAATTTGTTGTTACTGTTGCATTCAAGCACTGGATTTATTTTTAACTCTGAGGGGCTGCGAATAAATATCCTCACCTATAAAAGAGATCGATTGGATGGCAAATAGGGTAAGTTATTTTTTATATTTTTGCTTAACATTATAGATCATGGAATGCTGTATTTCTAGGGTATTTAGAGAAGCTTTACACAGAAACGGTAAGATAATAAACATTTGAAAAAGAGTTTGAAGCAAGTACGAGTTGAATATTAGGCATTATATATTTTTAGATGAGAAAATAGATGGAATTGTAGCAATGCGGTTACATTCAGGAAAGTTTAAAACTGTATAAATATGTTTAAGAACGTCAATTTTAGAAAATAAAGATATCTGCAGCTAACTTTGAATAAATTATGTCACTCAATATTGTTATGAAAAGAACAAACACTTTCGAAGCATTTATGTATGTTTATTTATTTCAATGAAAATAAATTTGCAAAAAATATTTTGCCAACGTTTTGTTTTACATGAAATATACTAGTATGTATTGAATATTTAGCAGCAATTGAGCATCGCAATAATTTGTTGGCGTATTGTTATCATAATATTATAAATTTCTCATGATTGAATCGAGTTTCTGTTTTATCAAATCAAAGCAAGTATTCTCCCATATTTTGAATATTTTATCCTTGAATACATCAGTCGCCTTTTGCAAATTATTTTCATGCGCGATCAAGACGCGTTTTCATGGGTTTAGCTAACTGCTGGATACTTTGTTTCGATATAACGCGGATGCCAATCAACCTTTGCTGTTGGGATTATAAGGCTACTGTGTTCGGCAGAGGTTTTATCACAGTAGGAAACTTGAAGTTCGATCTATGATGGTATATGTACAATAAAATATTAGTTCTTTCTGTAGTTAAATTTTTAACATGCAATTGGCAACATGTTTCAAAATCCATAATTTATTTTCATTTGTAACTAACGTTTTCATCGTTAGATATTTGATTGAATACTAGGGCAAAGCGGTGAAAATTTTCCCTGGAGTTCAAGTATTCAACTAACTGCTGAATAATTCTCTTTTCCATGCCTTCATATATCCACCATGTAATGTTGAGGTACACAGGTCGATTCTAGTGCGTATGATAAATGATCGATTTATTGTCTTGTACTTTACGACAACAGCAGAAAGAACGCTAGGTTCTCAAATATTGACAAGCAAATGGCATTTGAAATTTAAATGGATTTTTGCGCCGCATAAAAAGCAGCACTAAATTTTTTTTGTTTTATTCCTAGTAAAACAATGAACCACCAAGAGATAGGATATTTAATTTGAAGAAAAAATGGAACATATTGCCTTAGGGAATCTTTTTTGATAAAAAATCGAATTTATTTTTTAACATTTTTTCATATTTTCACTCTTCATCTCGTATTTTTAGAAATTGATAAATTTATAATAATTATTTTGCTCAGTTGTGAAAATGTATAAACATGTTGTTCAGTCATCATCATATGTATATATGCAAATACAGTATATTTAAACAGAAAGGTATTCTGGTTTAGAATTGTAGAGACTGAAGTCTGTGTATTTTCAGGTTTCATATTTTTCATGTGTATTCCATTAACCAGTTCTCATGATAGGCCTCATGATATATATATTACTATTATTTTGGCGAACACCTGTCGTATCTCGGTTAGGCATTGTTATTTAGAGTAGATTATGCACCACGGCTATTGTACTCACTCACCTATTCTAATGATTTCTTTAGGTGATCGAGATAATCATGGTGTTAGACCGATCTAGGGTTTTATATTTGCATATTACGTTGGATTGCATAAAGCCTCTGGTCAACAAATTAATATGTAAAAGAAAAATATACACACTCCGCCATGACTTGTCGCCTTCTTCTGATTACGACGTTCGCGACACAAATCTCGAAGCAATAGATCCGCATTGCCCACATTCTTAGCGTAAGAGAGGAGTTAACAACAATGCGGTTGCGCTTCCAACTCCGAAAAGAAATGCCGCAATCCGAGCGTGAAAACTGACCACCGTAGTTCACCACCTCGCTGACACTGAGTCAGTCGCCTTTTAATATCTCAAACTTATAGTTAGTTGGCCGGAGGGGAGTGACGTTTTTATGATTTAGACGTGAAAAATTTGGGTAGCTTTTAGTTTAGATAACGCGACGATGGTTACGCTAGTGCGTGTAGTCATCAAAAAATAAGTGAAAATATTTTTAATAGAACGTGATACTTGAATAATTGGAAAGTTGAATATAGCTATTAAAATTGTCTTGATTCAGTTGTTATGCTCCATATACTTATGCTAGTTTTGGAAGAAGTAATATTTGTTGAAATATGCTGATAACGCAGTAGTACTATTATTCCAGACAAAGAACTAACGCCGTACCAATTAAAATGGAGTCGCTTTTCAGGCCAGACAGATCACATCTTTAAACGCAGGTACATACACGCACCTACGAATCTAGCAGGCTTTCTTTTTCTCGCACGGTTATGCTAATGTGCGGCGCGTGTAACATTTCGGCATTTTTGCAGTTCAATACGTGACAGTTAATACTATTAGTGTACCTGTGTGTTTTTGTTACATTATCGCGCATGCTAATACACCTGGACCAGCAAAGCACGGCATTCGCGGTATTGTCATAAACCGGATTATATTGCCAGAAGTCGGACAAGTAGCTTAGAATCGAGGTGGAGAGTCAAGAACCACAGAAAAGTGAGAATTGAAGAAGGAATAAAGGCTCAAATGGCCGCGACAGTTTGTGTGAGTTGCGATGAATATTGGAGTTGTTAAAGTCGATTGTCGTTTTTTTTTTGTCTATTTTCGATAGTTGTGCGTTGTGTAAAAATTTGTGAATCAAAAAGGTAACATTTTATTGAAGTCGAAGTTGTTAAAAAAAGCAAATATCATGGAAGCAAGTAAAATTTAATTATAGTTAGCAACCCGTCAGCCATTTTATAAATTTGTGTCGCAGCATTGAAGAATAAACTTTTTAACGTAGAATAGCCGTTTGACAGTGTTTATGAATAGTTGGGGCTGATTCTTTTTAAAGCTATAATATACTTTTTAGTATGACGATCATATGGGCCACTACAACGGCATGGCAGCAACGGATATGAGCACAAACAACTCGGTAAGCGGAGGATTATACAACGGTGAAATCAATCGGTCGATGCCGCATATTCCGCACATCAATCACGGTGGATCTATGTCGCATTACCCGGCCTCTGCGCCTATCACTCCTCAGTCAAACTCTATGCATAATACACAAGCACCTGGATCATCAGGCATAGACGATAGGCTAAATGACACAGAACGTTTGAACATGAAACGTGATAAAGACACAATTTATTCGTGAGTTTATTTTTTATATTAAAATGTCACAATATATTTTGTTAGCTCCATTTTACAGTATGGAATTTTTAAATACAAATTTTGTTTAAATGTTTCCAAAGATATACTTTTTAATATATTAAAAAGTAATATTGAAATATCAAATATTAAACATGACAAATATACCATTTACCTATTTTCAACTAATTTATATTTATGGGTTCGTCCGAATTTTTTTATTTATTTACAACGAGATTCTTTCTTCTATACATGCTAAAAATATCCCAATTCTTCAGAAAAGTATTTATTTCAATATTGAAATACTAAACAATCAAACAATGAATGCCGTAAAAAAATATTTCCAAAATATGCAAAATTCATGCCACAAGTCATGATCACAAACCGAAATAACCCGAAGCGCTGAAATAAATTAGTTTAAAAATATAAGAAAACGTGGTATTGTTAATTGACTAAATTGTGTAATAGATAAAAGTGGACAATCGCTTGTTTATGGTGGTTGATGATATTTTCGTTTTCTTATCGTTATCGTCTTTTCGTTTATTTGTAAATTGGAGCATGAATGCATATACCATCATCGTTGAAAATTAGTCGCAAAATTCATCACGTTACAACAATATATTTAAACGTTTGACAATAATGACGATAAATACAAATATGGCTAAATAACCTGACACGCACATGAATGCTTCAAATTATGTATTCATGCCAAATGTGTAATAATCATATTATTGCGTGTCTGCTACCGAATTACATAACTATCCCTGGCACGACTCCTTCAGGATGTTAAGATAGTTTTCATCATTCGTGCCAAACAATATCACTTAAAGTGAGACACTATCACGAATATGTATGCTAGTTTATATTTATTATTACCTCAGATAAATTTGAATATACTCATAAAGTAAGTAGTTAACGTTTAAAGGTATACTTTGTTTTAATGAGACTTTTAAATACAAAGACAAACTGGGGAAATAAGATAGTAAGGCCATCGACATTCTTCTATTGTTTGTCGCACACTTTGCCGATTTTGAAACTAGGGCACGTGGAAACGCAAAATAAAGAATAATCACAAATCCGTGGCTAATCTCCGCATCAGATCGGAAACTGTATTGCACCGTACAATAAAAAGATTTAACTAAAGTGTGATCTATTTCCGATAGAAAAACTCTGATGAGATTTTTGTTTTCATTATGAATGACAGACAGGAAATATGACTAACACTTGACTGTGCAATTGAATCAAAAACGTACAGATTAATTTTTGAGGTGAAACACAGTTTTAAAGTGTTCCTAATTTTAGGCATATTTAATATTATAATCATAGCATTTTATTATTGCTTTGTCAAAGATTTTATTTTATATATATCATGTACACACAACGACGAAATAGTAGACGAAATAATTCAAAAACGTAATGATTGACTGCTTATTTTTATCTATCTTCTCAGCTCAGAAACTTATGAAATTTCTTTCAGTATTGATGTTAACATTTTGTCCTTCTATTTAGACATCCCTTGTTTCCTCTACTAGCACTCGTATTTGAAAAATGCGAACTTGCAACTTGCACACCGCATGATTCTACCGTAACAGCCAGTGATGTATGTTCCTCAGATTCTTTAACGAAGATATTGCTTGTTTTGCTAAGCAGGTAGGAAAACTGCATAATGTTATCACATGCTAATTAAATTTAATAGAAGCATGCTACTCTGTCAAGATTATATTAGACGTACTAATACATTATCCTTGAGTGCATATGACGACAAAGATTTTGTCTTTTCATATATATGTCACATTAGTTGTGTGTGGTATTTTATCACAGTGGTCTTGTTTCCTTGTCATGCTGACTATATAATTTCGTAATCTACATTTTTCTTAATGGAAATGCATGCAAAAGGTTTATAAGGAAGATAGTGTCACCTTGAAAAATATGACCTTAATGAGCCCTCCAAATTAAATTTTATTGCAAACTTGTTCTTCTGCTTATATTTATCCATATGAACGAATAAATTAGCATAATTAATTTTATGTTTTGTAATATTCCTATTTGCTCCATTCATATAACGTGGATTTCTCGATGAATGAGCGTTGCAAATTATTATGACAAGTCGGCCATGTTGGTTTCGTCAAAACTGACGGCGATCCTCTTTTATAACCCATCACGATATCGGAAGCAATGCAATGAAATATCTTGGTCGTTCAATATTTCTGGTGACATATTGGCATAAACCTTGTCATGAACTTTGATAACACTTGCATTTTGTCACGTTGCCTTTGTCGTTTATGGACAAGCTGTAACCAATATTTCTGAAGTAACCCAAATATTGTTTAATATCGAGACATTGTCTCGTAATCGCGTTTTTTACTCCAAATTTGCTTTTTTAAATAATGTTTATTAGAGTCGATATGATTCCGTCCGTGGCTGCTTGTTCACCTCTTGTAACAAAATAGAAACAACAGTAGATTCGGCAATACTTCATTTTCATCTAGCATAATTGGTGTACTGAAACAATACAGAAACAAGGATAATAATATTTGTTTCTCAAATTCGATGGTCCGTATCTGTGAATGAGAGTGTGTCGACGTAACGACAGAATCAAATTGTTATCGCTCTAATCCAACGTGCAAAACATTACAACTCTGTTAATGGGTTAATAAAAAGAGAAATAAATCTGGAGTCGTCGATTGTGAATTCGGGGTGAAGGAAAGGTCGACTCGGATTATGACGTTCCAAATTTGGCACTTCTCACTTAACAATCGTCACCTCCGGCAAATCGCAGCAGTGCGCCGTAAAATCAGTACGAGTTATTGGCTTCTCTTCGCTCCATCATAATGATATTGTTACCACCATATTACTTTCAATTATTCCTAGCGGTAATAATTGTTCCGCACCCATTTTCCATCGGATGCCCTGTTTGTAAATCGAGCATGTCGATTCGCAGCCGCTGATTATCGCCAATTATCAATTTTTATTCACACTTCTAATTACGACTCACCGCCTTCTCCGTTCAGTTACATTCTTCTGATTTTTTCCTATTGTAATCGAGTGCCAATTTTTAATCGAATAAACGAACAGCACCGTCACGGTTTCAAATAGATTTCCAGTTTAATTGTATGGATATAGAAAACTAGACCAAATCGCCGTTGTGGATCCCTGCTACACTTTCCATGAAATCGTTAACAATAACATTTTGTTGATGACTTGGAAACAGTCAATAATTTCAACTGCTGTGAATAATTAGCGGAGTCATCAGTTCTTTGTGCAGTATTACTATACTTAACACTTAAAAAATTTTATATTCACAGATTCAAAATGAAAAAAGACCGATATCTTTCGACCCAAACAATGAAATTGATAATTTGGTAAGTTATGCAATGCTGAATTTCTTCTTTCTGTATTTCCTAACCGTTGTGAATGAAAGCTATAAATTGATTACCAGGGTATGACGACAGCATTGCAGATAAATGGCTAACAACAAAAAGGCAAACTTGGCACATAAATCAAAATAGCACTCGAAACCACAACATGAAATTCAAATTATATAAAGACTTAATTGTCAAAACGCCACCTTAATCAAAGTAACGATAATCTCAAGATATGATCAAAAATAAAAACCATAACGTTTACATAAAATAGGGCGGAATCTTTGAGGAACGGTTAAAACCAGATATCAAAAGTAAACTACATATGAATCCGTTAGCGGTATAAATTGAATATAAACAAAATTGTATTTCTACTAGCTTTTTTATTGATGCCGATTTTCAGCTTCAACTGTAAAACCAAAACGTCGCAAAGAATTAGCTGCTAGCCGCCGGCATAAATATTCTATTGTTTCAGCTGTGTAGGCAGCAATTTTCTTCCATTCATTGATGCATTTTTAAAATAAAATTTATATTTTATCACAACTATCTAAATTTCATGTCTATTTAAAGTGAAGTTATTCTCACATTTGCATATCTTTGCACCATCAATCCGAGGCTTTTCACAATTGTTAAACGGTTACACTAATTTGACCACATATAGTAGTCGAGTTACCAATAATGTGTTAAAATTTCGTCTAGTAATTTTGTTATTGTATATAATAGCGCTGTTGCTTATTTTGTTAGTTACTTACCTAAACAAAAACGAACAGAAAAATTACTGCTAAATTTGAAGGGGAGATAATCATCTTTTTGTAAAAGATAATATGGGACCTGTATTACGAGATAGAAAAATAAGATTGCATGACAATGGCACGAATATTACTTTAACAATACGAACCTAAAATTTAAGGGTTAGCGTGAAATTACGAAGCCTACAAAAACGATTTTGATATCAGGTGTCTTTATTTTGCTGTAGCTGATATTGAACCTCTCTTTGATACGTATGACGCATTGTACTGGAAGAAATAATGATAAGTTCGTGATATAACTAACAAGAAAATCGCTATCTTTTCTCTCAATTTCAATTTTGCACGACAAAACTAGGGCAACGTGAATCTGCTGTTCGCAATGTAATCCCCATGTGCCAAACCGTGTATCATGTCCATACGGAAAAAATTTTGTCGACGTTTTTAACAATGTTATCACTAAACGTTTCTTCCTTCGCAGCAACGGACGGTATTCGGCAAAAGTGCAACTTTTACTTTGAAATATAAAAGCATTGTGATTCACTATTCCTCCACTATAGATCCCTATATTATATCATAAGATAAATATTTCATCAACGTATTATGTGGTACTAAAAACGATGTGAAGTCTCTGCCACATGTTAATGGAAGCTATCTGTAGTAAAATTTGAACAGGACCAGGAGTATAAATGACAAAATTCCGGAAATGAAATGAAGTTAAGTACCATCGCCACGTTAATCTTTTTCACACCCGTTTTAAGATAGCAACTGCCATCATCGCCCAGTCGCTAGTAGTCTTTGTTACTTTCACTTTTTGATGGGCGTCACTCGCCAGGATTAATATGGAGGCTTCCTCATAGATATCGGTATGGTTGAATACCAAATATTAAATGCTGATGCCGCATCCAATGTTCATATATAGGTATATTAATAACTAACAGGCCTTGGACCTGGAGTTCTTATATATATATATATGCATATAAATTGTTGAACTACCTTTTGTCCTAACTAAAAATACAGAACAAAAACATTCATTCAAGCTTCAACGTATCAATCAGGTAATCAATCACATTTTTGATTTGACGGCGTGACTTTTTTTTTATATAAAATATTGGCGTAGAATGGTACTGCAAAACAACCAGGTGTGTTGCTGGATGATTTCAGTATTACAGCAAAAAGAATTCTATCAAATCTTTTGAAGTAATATCGTATTTAATATAACAACATATAAAAATATACGCTGTTTGCATCGTTTATAACACACGACTCTATAGCACATCAGTACAAATATGTTGCGACATTCAGTAGTTATATTAGAGCAATAGTACTTCCCAATATATTTTTACACGGTTTTAAAAAAGGATTGAGCAATATTTTTTTAGTTTATATATTTCTGTTTAAAAATTTGCAGAAATAGTTATGATATATCAATTCGTTAATGGACTTACTATTATGATAAAATATTGAAATAATATGTCTGTAGAATAGGATTTTGCTAATATACAATGCATTCATTCATTTTTTCAACTATGTATGCACTGCACAATACAAAGTTGATTGAAACTCAATTATTTATATCAATAATATTCCCTACAACGATAATAAATATACAAATAGTAACTAATGCTTTAATTCTTATGTTAATGTTGCGGTAAGAAGGATCGTTCCTTTTTTACATTTTGTTTAATAACTTCCTTCCACAAGAAATTAGTCGTTTTCCCGTCTCACTTTGATTGCAACAGAAAACAAGAAAAATGATCTGTCATTGTACATGTAGAGGAGACTTGTTGCCTTAAGATCAATAGAATCTGCAGGAGGAATAACTGACATAAATACAATTTAATACTACTTAATTATTGGGCACGAAATGAATATGGATCGTTTTGTCATTTTGAATTTCCTTCTTCTTGTTGAGAAGAAATCTCTTTAACAACCGGACCAATTGCTTTGAAATTTTCCTTGGTTAAATATTGTTGTTGTCGCTAGAAGGGTATTACTTTTAATAATTTTTAAAAGTTTTTTGTCGGCCCTATGGAATCCGTTTTTCACTCAAATTTTTTGTGTGATGACGTCATCAACGTGGAAAAATCCGCACCGTACCGTGGTTCTGTGACCGCCTTTCTGCGATCTGGTGGTCAAACTACCGGTACAGTGAGAGATTTTATGTTACTTCGTTTGGCCTTTGTGTATATATATTCAAGCATTGCTGTCTTGTATTTTAAAGGGAAACCACGGCCCACACCGTTTAAACCTATATAGATTTTGGCAATTGAAAAGTTTTTTTTTGTATGAAATGCCTAATCTTGATAAGAATATAAACATCGTATTCAACTCTATATAAATGGAAATAAACAATAAAAATTACCTTTTTTCAGATGATTTTGTCGATACAAGTTTTAAGGTTCCATCTACTAGAATTGGAAAAGGTAAAAGGAAGATATTATTATTGATTATTAATATTTTTTTTATTAAATAATTGTTTTATTGTTATGTTTAAATTTCTGTGTGTTTTTGAATTAACTCAGTTTTGATATAAATAACAATATATTGCTGTTTTTGCTTCATTTTACTTTCAATATTTTGTGTTTTCACCATAAAGGTCCACGAACTGTGCCAGAATTTTACTTCACGTTATATCAATTGCTTAAAAGGAAAAATGCCGATCGATTTAGTAATAGAAGACCGGATGGGTCGGGCCTAAAAGCAATCGAAGGATTGGAACCTGGTTCATCGGGGTCAGAACAGGTAACGATTTTCTAATTGTTAGCCGTCGACCACTTGATTATATTTTTAATTGCTTAGCAGATTATATACTTTATGGAGATGTATTATTTTGACGAAAAGAGTAAAATGAAAAAAGATCATAACAGAATAATAGGCATATTACAATGACATAATAATACTAAGTACTATATCATTATTAACACTAATTTTCTTTATTGTCCAATACTTTTACTAAACTTACGTATCCCAGCCTAACCTAAGATGAAGTGAAATCCAAGAAAACTCGGTGGTGGGGGTGGGGCAATGATAATATCTAATTTCTATAAAAAAAAAAATTCAGGAAGCTTGAATAAATGGTGTTCACCTTTTGTATTAATTCTGATTATTTTTCTAATTTTTTCCATTTCTTAATTGCATTTTCTGTCATATTTATAATTCCTATTTGATGTAGTTCTAAGGAGTCATGCCATTATGTTTCCCACGTCGTCAATTGGAATGATGTAACTCGTAACTCGCGGTTTCAAAGTCCATCCATTTCTCCGTTGTTTTGAATTCTTAGATAAATGTTTGACTTGCCACTAACTGGTTGTAAAATTTTGATATAGCGTAGTATACTTAGGAGGTTGGGACTCGTAACATCAGAGATCTCATGAAACAATCTCGTAGAATATGTCTTATTCCCCCGCTACAAAATTTATCGCTGCTGACTTTGCAAGAACATGTACGAGATTTATCACGATAAAAAGCTTGATCGCGAGTTTTATATTGGCCCGTTTTATTTTTGATGAAAGGTTGTTTATGTTATATTGCACTAAAACCAGAAACTATTGGCCGTGCCTATTTGTTTATTAATTTTTCTTATTGTTTGATGACTTCAGCTTGAAATGATTATAACTTTTAAAAAATACATTTCTTGTTTCGCGCGTTTACAATACATATGCATTGTCTGACAACGGCTTACCACTGGAGAGTGATTCTTGTTACGTCGCCTTGTTGACGCTATTCTGACATTTCTAGTTATTCTCGCATACGCTCTGTAATCCACTCCCGATAAGACGACCCATATCTCGAAACCTCTTTTAACCCTTTACGTGTAGTTAGAAATATTTGACCTATGTTTATTACAAATGGCTAGTAACCAAGGGGTATGATAGTACTGGAATCTTTGTGATGTGTCTTAAAGCCAGTACCGCGCCTACTTTCTTATCTCAATCAAATATTCTCCACCTATTCTTGCCGTCTCCTGCTTAGAAATCGTCGTTTTGCTTTCATGTTCCCATCGTAAATCGTAACTAAGATCGCATTAGTCATTGTGTTACATTGCGCGAAATAATAAATATTATGTAGGTGGGACATTGGAATCACTCTACAACCTTATTAATAAAGACTTAATCAAAACCTAATATATATATGTAACTATGTATAATTAATATGCGTGTGTTTAATACACTAACTTTTCGGAGTTATTTTAATATTCAAGTCCGAAGTATATTCCTGTACAAATTATTGGCTTGTTGATATAACTCTCATTTACATTTTCAAAAAATGAGATGTAGTTCGTTACTTTGAAATCAAAGTGACTTATATCGTACTTTTTATTTACTATAATATACGCCTACCCATACAAAGTATACGTCACTCGGACACCAAATGACCACATCAATAAATAAAAGCGTCGCCATGTTAGGGTAAACATGACATCTCGGACCTGGATTTAAACCTTTAACCCTATAGTAATATTTGCTTGCGTGAAGACAGTGCTTGTTTTCGTTTTCGGAGCCGTTTCATGTGTAATGACAATGTTTATATTTGACGTGTTTGCTCGTTAGGGGAAAATACGCGTTTGGAGCCACTCGGGGTGGACAGTTTTCCCGCCTCTCTTCTTAAGTAAAATATTGTTCTGAAAATGACAATCTATAATTACTGACTGTCATTTGCAATAACTCTTCTGTCAGGATCAAAGTAACTAACCAAACGCTGAAGATATGAACTACGTTCTTCACGCGGAATAATTCTTATTTCACCCAATGTAAATACAACTTTGTATACGAGAAGTAGATCAACTTATGGTTTAAAATGTAGTGGTCATTTTGTTTGGCGAGGTGAGAAATCTGATTGTCCTCAGTCTGTATATCGCGTGACGACTATTGAGTTTTGCGTTGTCCAAGAAAATAAACTTTGGTATTTCATGAGTCATTTGCCCACATATCAACAATACAAGACGAGTTGATTGACGTTTGGTCGCTCCGATGCGACTATAAGCGTCTTGGGGAAATTGCTTCTTAGCTGAATTAGATTATACTTCCAAATTGATAAATTCTGAATTCTGCATTAATGCAGGAACACCAACACGGGTATTGGTGCGTAATCTTTTGATACGAACGATTGTGTAGATGATTTGTTTTTCAAAAGTATATAAGTTTCAGGTTTCTTAAAAACCCACTTTGGCCATAACGTTCCTCTCTTGAAGTTGATGGACGTGCTTAGATTTTTTGTCGTCCACTTGCTAACTTGTAACAATAGGTTATCACACTACTTTTTTTATACTAAACCGTTCCGGACGTCATCAGAAATTAACACTTTGTTTTATTCCAAGTATCATCCACTCCGGACGTGTTTCAGTCAGCTGTATAGCGCAAAACAGGTTTCAAAGCGGGAGTTTCCATTTCCAAACCACGACGTCTTATCGGACGCCATGGCATGTCATTTGTAGCGTGACATAATTTCAAATCATATGTGACGTGCTCAAAGTTAAAAATGTAATTTCAATATGACCTAATATGCGACCAATACCATTTCAAGTGAAGTTTGTAACGATTTCAGTCACTTAAAACGTCACAATACTGAAATTAAACTTTGAAATCATTTTGAAATCGGAAATGAACTCCAATTATATTATTGCTAAGTCCCGTACTAATCGCGCAATACGGTGATTTCCAGTCCAAGGCGAATCATTAGTGCGTTATCTCAGTTCAGAATTCCTATCTTTCTCCTCGCTTTTTCGCGAAGCTCAATCATGCTGATGACACACACAATTTACGAAATATTTTTAACAAAAACAAGTAAATTATGAACAAATACAAATAACACAATTATAAGTAACCAATAAAACATACATGAGTTTTTACAAATGCAAAAAAAAATTGTATTATAAAATATTTTATTTGCATTTTTACCGTTTTGTGGCAAACCAACTTTTAACCTATTTTTATACATTGACGTCAGCTCTATGACTCAACTGATTTGCATTGATATAGTAATTAGCCGTACTACAAATTATTGTGTTATAATTCCTTGAGATCAACGGCTATAGTCTTTGGCATAACTATGTCAGTCTTTTTCACTCGTGTGCTCCAATTATTGTTTCAGACTCCCGATGCATAATGCATAGATCAGTCGTATGATATAATTGCATGTGTTCCGTCTAAAATGATCACACTGCCATTCCGCCCGGTCGAGACGCGCTTCAGAATCTTAATATCTAGGTTTGGGGGCTATCGCTTAGTTCAAAGTCTTTTCAGTCCCGTACTTCAACATACAGAGGAAATGATATATTGGAGCGACCTTTCCCTTACTTATTTTGAGAAGGTTTTCAAAGCAAATATTAGCAATTTGCTTTTACAGGAGACATAAATGACTATGGTACTGAACTATAATATCAAAATAACTAATATCAATAACTTTGACAACCTTGATGTTCTGTCACAGTCATGACTCATGATTCCTGTTCTCATAATCCTGACAAGTACCTTTACATACAAGGCGTGATTTTCCAATAGTTTTCATTTATATTAGTTGTTAGAGAAGTTGTACGTAATATATGGTATAACGCGAACGATTGTTTTCTGTCATATCAAAAATTTCGTAAAAGGTTTTGGGTGATTCTGAAGAAAACTCTGAGAAAAACGTTATTCAATTTTCGATAAAATGGATTAGAAGCAATAAATTTTCAAGCCTTGTTAGTTATCTATCAATCCATACAGACGATACAAATTGCACGTCAGTGAGGTCATCTTCATCTCGTATCAAATGATCTTTCCAGACAGCCAGTATTTTTGACTGACTACCCAGCATTAATTATGGCGATAACGTGCTTGCGCAGCCATCCTCATGTTTTATGCAAGCTGGAAATAAACAAACGACAAGTGCAAATTTGTGTTATGAAAACGAAATGAACGAGATCGAGTCGATAATGCACTCGGGCAATTCACAAGAAAATAACCGCATCCAAAGCAGGTATTTTTGTGTCTTTTTATGATAATAATAATTCCCGGGTTCAAAGGTCACATTCTTGCTAATGGTGCTCCACTGCTCATATGAACATATCCTGGCGTCCAAATTTATTTCATGCAACTCATTCCGAAATTGGCCATTTCTGAATAAAAATCATGTCAGATAGCAAATTGTATTAAAATCTCATTGCAAAGCTGTTTTAGTTGTTCAAATTATTGAAAATCAACTTTTTGAAATGTCATAAATTTTAAAATTTTAAAGTAAGTTTGTTTGGCAGCTCATCATTATGTTGTCGTTTAGAACCTTGAAGCTGAGAAAAAATGTGGCCTCTAAAATTGATAGGAAATGTCTTCTTTCACTTCATTTAAAGCGTAAAATGAAGTATTAGTTAATAAATGGGATAGGATAAGTTCTATAACATATTATATCGTAATAATTATGTCGGTTGCCATTTCGTTATCATCCGTTTCGTGTACACAAATTTGAGTTTTTATACTTTTCAGACAAATTTATTGTCACACTTTTTGCTTTCGTCGTAATCGACTAAGCCTGTATAATTGGACAAAAAGCAACGATAAGGATAGGGATTGACCCATAATTCCCGAATAAACAAATCTATTTTCGGCAACATCATGCCATTTTCTCCGGCGTTTTATTTTATTACAAGGCTATACTTCCAATTTCACGCCCATTCGTCGACCGCTCAGCAATTGTCTCCACAGTCGTGCAATAAATTATTTACTGGGCTTTCAGCCTGGATAGAAGGGAGGCCAAGTCCATAGATTGCCCTTGATAACTAAACGCGAGACAGATAACAAAGACATGCGTTGCAGAGCCATTAGAAATGTCTGAAATATTCATTCAAAAGTCCGACTCGTTGTATTCCGCGTACATCTTTGTGACCGCAAATGATTCTGCTACTCGTCTCGATGAAACGTAGATTGTACAAAAGCCCTATCCCCGCTAATTACGGGAACTTGCTTTGGAATTGTCAACTTAAATTTGGAATTTGTTTTAGAAAATACCTACTTGACTCAAAGTGATTTAATAAATATATATTAAACTAATGACCAAAAGATAATGAAGTACCTCACAGGTGTGGTTAAGCTAATCTCGTGTAGACCTGCAGTCGTTTAGATTGAGATTATGCTAAGATTTTCCAGCCCTAAGCCGCAGAACGGGGCACCCGTCGCGTTTTACAGCATTTCTGCTAGCACAGAACAAAATATCGAGTTAACGCTTCCATAAGATGTTCGTATGTACGCATAACAGTCAGTTCGTTTTTGTTTTGAGATGCAGTTCCAAACACACCTACATTGTTACCGAAATTTAGATAATCCTGTCCAACAGCAACGGATTTTTTCACTATGGTGTTACGAAATCACATACAGAAAACTGATATTTTGAATTCAAATGATAACAAAGAATACAAAGTGACATATCCACGAATAACGTATAAACTTATATCTCAATTACTAACGGTATTTAATAACGTATAAGTCATTTTTCTGGGTACCTAAAAATAATCGTTTGAATCTTTTCTAATAGGTCCCTTTGTAAGTATTCAATTTGCAAATAAACTCTTTAAAATATTAACCAGAGTACGCATCATTTAACCTGATCATTAGGCCAAAACCACAGAAATTCGTAAACTATGTATTACTCGACAACAACTTAATATGTGCCTGATTTTATATTTTATTTTATGACACAATTATCGTAAAATTGTGGATACCGCGATAAAAAAAATGTGGTTTTCACCTAAAGTGTATGAGTAATATCAGTTCGGAGATGACGCGATCACAATTTTTCGCTTTTATTTTCATTTTTAAGATAGCTGGTTTTGAATTAAAGACGGCCGTTGTCGAAAATGACTTGTGTGCCACGCATAAAGCTATAATAGTAAGTTCAATGGTCTGATATTCCTGCCTCGTGATTACATGCCTGATTTTGTTGTTCGAAATTTTGTATCCATACCCTCTGGATAATTGACCAATCTGACAGAAAATTAATCTTAGGACCACACACATAAAATATTTGTTTCAACTTTTCAAAATCACAGAAAAAATTATATGAATATCATGGTAATGAAAGAGACTTTTTGCAATAATCGTGTAATTAATTGCCTCATTGTATAGTCATAACGAATGCAAAAATATTTTTAATAAAACGTGGAGTTTTATTTCTGCTGATTAATTATTTTTTGTAACGATAATATTTTTGAGTCAATATTGTTTTTTTTTATACCTCAACCAATTTTTAAGTTTTGCACTCAGCAATACAGCGTTCCATTTACATATATGAACTTGCGGAATTTTCACTACAGTGTAAAAATAAATAAATCTTACTTTATCCAGGTGCTCATATAGAGCCTTTAGCGATATATTTATTTATGTGTTAGGCTTAAGAGTGATTAGCTCTTGTTTAGCCATCGGTTCTCGTTTGTTCATTTGACGTATAACCCTGTCTATCGCCGACAAAAAGTATCCTAATGACGGGTTTCATGACTTTAATTGTCGAATGTCAAGGTTCATGCCATAATTATTACATCACAAGGTGTGAATGAGTGAAACCTTTCCATGCGAACTTGGAATCGGGGTTTTGATTATTTGCTCTCAAACTAAAACCAGAATTAGTTTTTATTTGAATATTAAAATGAAGGAGGATAAGATGATTCGAGGCGCATGTCTTCATTGGTCAATTTACCAATATGCCAGCTCAGGAGTGCACCTGTGTTAAAAAATGACGCTGGTTCTTGTCGTTATTATCTTTGGTTAACATACGTTCATGCTGCTTCATCTAAAAACCTGATTATCCCAATCGTGTGCCAACTGCCAATGCGTCTATAATCTGTAGGCAGAGGTGCGACACGCAACCTAAATGATCGGGGATACTTATCCGACATCAAGCAGCGATGAACGTCAAATCTAACTGCTATTAATGTCAGATATTTTGTTTGTATTATGATTATCGTTTAAGAAAAAATGCAGCTTACAATCCGCTTTTGCTTAATATACATATACTTGTGGTTTCGATCTAATTCTGCATAGAAATCTGAGTGCGAGTCGTTGCAAAGGTCGAAGCTAGAGTTTTCTTAGTATTTTGAAAGGTTACCTACCACCTATCGACGACCACTCGTCGTGTGCCAGTCTTGATTATATCATAGGTAAGATCAATTGCTTTGAACTTCTTTGCGTTTGCGTGGTTACTCGTGGCAACTACATACGACTGTGACGCATTTCCTCTTCCGATAAGATCACAATTTTACCTTTATATGTAAGATCATAATTCTCGCTGTTGAAAAATACAAAAATATAAGGTGTTTCGCGTTTAATAAAGTAGATTCTTTTAAATATGGAATGAAAAATTTATAATCTGTCGTTTATAGGCCACGTCAGTGAATTTTTCCAGTCTGCTATTGTAGGTAGAAATTGAATTGGGAAGTTGCGGTTTTCCTCAAATAATACACTTGCGGCAATATTGGGAACAGGATTTCAACAATGAAATTTACGCAAACGCGCATCTGATGCTGCAATATTTGCAGCGAATTATTTTCAAATAAACGATTGTGGCGACGGGGCTTTTGGTTTATTATTCGAATGTTTTTGATAGATAAGTGATTGAAAATTGCTGTAAAAAGACAATTTATCTATATCATTTGCCTTGCACTTTTCAGCATTCAAAGTCAACTTTGCGTACATTGATGCATTTGACTTTATTAGCAGAACTTGTTATGAATGATCGATTTTGATCGCCCTTCCAAATTACGTTGTTGTACAGAATTGTTTTTTTGGGAAGTATTATTTATCCATCGTTTATGAAATATTCAGACTTCATTCCTATATCTCTTAGTATCAGCTTTTTTATTGATCATAATTAATCTTTCACTCATGTATGTTATATATGTTTATTTACAGTCCTTCTTCCCACAAGATATACCGAATATTTCGGGACCCGATCCTGTGACGTCATTAGGTGCAGGAAACAGCAGTTCAGTTGGAAACGTTACTCCAGCGTCATCCTCAATTAACCATCTTCATCACCAAAATCAACAACAATCAAGTCATCACCAACATCCTAATATGAACAACACAGAATCTGCAAGTCCAACAGGTATGTAATTTATGATGATGTTTTTTACTTTAAAATACCAAGTTCGTGCGACATTTTTCAGCAATTACGACATAGATAAGATGATTAAATGATTTGATTCATTTCTACTGCAAATGTAGTCAGTTTATCGAATGAGACTTTGTTCACAATCAGTCACTCTGTGGAATATATTATTATTAAGTTTGGTGTTTCGGTATGTAGTAAGTTTTTGGAAAGTTTTTGGAAAGTTTCTAGTTATATTATTGCGTTTTTTTTAAATATTTGCTAATATACTAGCTAAATGGATAACATTTAAATTGAATGTGTATAGACCACGTAAATGTAGACATATATATTACATACCGAAGCTATAGGTTATATACTATGCATATGACCTTTGTTGAAATACATGGGTAATTAAGATCCAGCGCTAATCCCCAAACGTTGAAAACTATAGGGCACATTCACACGGAATTTTATAGATATTATATAGTTTGTCACTGAATGGATGTCAGTCCAACATTCAGTGATATTCTATGTCGTGATAATTCATTAAATATCTATCTATACATTGTGAACTGATATCAACTGGTATATAATTTAAACGAAAATGAGCGGCACTATTTTGGAGTAGTAATAAAATTTGAGTAATTTCAACGTCCATTTTTACAAGGCATGTGATGTTGTTTATCTAACGCCTGAAGTCTCGTTTCGGGCGGCTTCCAAGTATGCTATACCCCGATTCGGTTTCCTGGATAACGACACTTTCATTTCACACCTTCTCCGGCCTGTTATCAAACTAATCCGTGCGTCACGAGGCTTATTTTTCAAAGGCAAAAACACATGGTTTGGACTTTAGTGGAAGCCGAGGGTGTGAATAATTTGGAACGATTTGCCCGCTTTGATTTTGACATCGGAATTGACTTTCATAGTTTAATATAACAAAAATGATTGTTATACTATAATTTAGACCAAACACTGAATTTCAGAACGATTTTTTGGGCTTATGTCTGTCTTTCTGTTTGGCTAGAATACGTTAGATCAGGTTAAGTTATTGCGTCACTTTCTATCCTAACATAACCTAAGATTGCTTTGTCCCTAATGCGAACATCAAATTATTTTTGTGTCGGGGGAAATTGCAAGCTTTGCTCGTTAACGAACAGTTTTGTGATAATGTACTTCATAATATCGTTCGTGTTTCTCTTTCCATTCAGTTGTAAAAATCTATGTGTCAGATTTATACATTTTAGGTCCTAATGCCTGTAAATATTGCGAAAAGTTTTGTTCGCCATTTTGAATTTTTAACTTACCACTGGAGGTGATAGACTATTATTATCTGTTCTAACTACAAATCACCAGGCGGGAGTGGGCACCAGTCTTTCGTCAATATTTACTTGTTTTATTCGCTGCGGAGCGCCCGTTGCTTATTGGCGGCTAAATAAGCCTTTCATCTGTATCGTGCACCGCTCGGAAAGCTAACTATATCTTGTATGATTTAATTGGCGCCGTTAAGTTGGCAAACACAGTGACATACGCAATAAAATAGCCGGCCCGCCTTCATGTTGCCATCAATGCCTACTATCGATTATCTGGGGTGCGAATTCTGAACTTCCAAAAACTTTTTCCGAAGGGGGAATTCCCCTACCACATCTACTATTGATTTCTATATGATGGAAAATTACTAAATTTAACTGCAATCAGGGTGCCGTCTATTTTGAAATGGAAATTTAAATTACTGATTCCTACCTAACAAATTACATTATAGTTTGAATGAAAATGTATATATACTTTGAGAAAACAAGTTAATATTACATTCAATCTGTAACGTCGCAATGATTTTTTTCAATTTCCTAATTTTATTTCGTTTTTCCGTGAAAATCAATTATAGCGAACCAACAATAAACGAAAGAAAGTTTTCTTTTTTGCTTTTCGAAACTTGTTTACAGATTGGTTTCAGTAGTTGGCAGCCAGTCTGATAACAATAATAACATCATTAGTGGGAGAAACTAATTCCCTCTGTGGGAAGGGGTCCTACACTCCTGGGCCCTCAAAAACTGGTCTCTGCTTGCATCTCGGAGGTATTTTGAAATCGATAGGGTATAAATATTTAATTTTGGGTCGTCTCGAACGCGCGGCAAGAATATATAAGTATGATTGCTTCTATAACAAATATACAAAGACGCATGCATTTTAAACTGCATATTCCGCAGAAGCGTACATCAAGGGAATCGGTGGAACGATATCCTCGTCAAACTCGTTTGTAAGGTTTAATGTATACGTTTCGTGTATGGACGTGACTTGATAAATCGTTTTCTCAATTCTGGCAATTTGTTATATTATACTTATTCTATTACTTTTTTGTCTCCATGGATGCTGTAAGGCTATTGTAATTTGCATTGTATGCTTTACCAATACACATTATAGTATAAGCAAATATAGTATTGTCGTTTCCAATGTAGCTTGATACAATCCCCGAATTCTGTTTCGCTTTTGATCATTTATACATTGAATGCAAATGCAGTTGGTTTATTTGAATGATATGTAGAACAAATTTCTTTAAAGGTAAATGCGATGTATGGAAATTTATTATTATAGGATTGCATTTGTATATGAAAACCTCTTCCATTTATTACACAATAGTGAAGTGGCCGTGTATCTATTTGTGAAACATAGATTGCATAATCTAAATCGAGGATTAGCTCAGAATCGGATGCGTAGAGCAAGGATTAGGCATGTCGCTCGCGGATGGTCTGTTTGTGAGTTTCTTGATGGGCTTGCGCATAATTAGTTGCATCCCGCTGCGTTTTCAATGATGCGGCGTTTTCTCTTGACGCGAATTAACTTGATCGATCCACAATTCAGGTGTCATCGACATCTGTTTACATCCAAATTAATTACATGTCACACCCAGAGGTACAAATTCAATATAGCTTAACTCGTCTTAGATTTGTTAGGTGGTCACAATGAATTGATTTTGTTGTGAATGCAAAGAGAATGGCTACTTGAAATTGATGTTTTCCCTGGGATTTAATCTATTGATGAGATCTGAGAGTTAATCAGAAAATTGGTTTTGTGAACAGACGTATGTTCACGTTATGTAATGATATATATTTCTTTTCGGCTATCATCTACAAAATTCTACACTGACCAAAAGACCAGTGAGTGACTTGAATATCAACTGTTAGTAACAAATAAAGTACTTTTTATATTGCATATCCGATATAATTCATGAATAATTAGGTTATCAGAATAATAAATGTTGCAAAATATTTATTTGTTTTCTCAAATTTTACGTCATGCTCGAATACATATACTGTTTGTTCGTACAATCTCGAACTAGGTCCAGTTTCTCTCACATGGGCATCAATCTCGGCAAACAAATTCAAGTCAAGAGATGTATGATAATTTGTTAAGCCCTGTCCCCATTAGCATTCGATACATCATATCTGGATTATTTAGGGCAGACCAATCACTTGTTTACTGAGTTTGAATAGATTTCTTTCACGTTAAACGAATAGAAGAAATTAGTTACATTTAAAGAGACAGGGGTGATTAGACGGGCTCTACATACTCATAGACCGTTTTAAGCCACGCGGTAATTACCCTCGATGTTATTTTACTGAATTAGGTATTAAGGCGAACTTTTGTAATTATATTTCAACCCAAAACTGAGCCACCGTTCTTGCGGCCACCCAGAGAAATTTATTACTCTCATTATTGCCAATTATCTGTTTTAACGTCTACTACCCGCTGCCAAGTACCGCCATATTTGGATAAAGATGAATGTGGGTAACTGTGAGATAAAGATTGGCATCTCGTTCAAAATGAGAGTTCTAATCACAGTTGGGTATACACATCACTTTTATAATAATGCACAACAGACACTTCTTAGAATTTTTAAATTTTATAAATTGAATTCTAATGCTTGGTTGTAAAAGTTATAAACCAATAATGAATATGCTGCCTATTTTTGCTTACTCGGTTAAAATCAATGTTTGATATAACAGTAAAACGCACAATAAGATTTCAGGAATTTTAACCATAATGCATCTCATCTTAATCAAGATTTATCGACATTATGGTATGCTTAGTATCAGATCTAATGACCCATGATAGCAAGTCGTGGGGGCTTTCGTGGATGCTTTTTGTTTTACATGCATATCCAATATGTTTGGTGAATGAAATCATATTATTGAATATATAATAACATAAATGGTTCTTGAATGGCCTCAATGTAGTAATATAATGTTCGTGGAATGCCTCATTATATAATAACACTTGCTGAAAATTTTAAATAAGTTCAACATTTAGCTGCGATCAACCCATGAGTGACAATTGGTTTGTTGCTACAGCTTGATTACACGATTTTACAGCCCACGCACAAACTCATTTTTTTGGCGAAACGAACCCCCAAGTATTGGGCCTTTCTCATAAATAGAAATTCCACCATGTAGGCTAGTGTGCTTTCACTGTTCGTCTGAAGTAGCGTGGAGTGGTTGCTTTAATGATCTAGTTGAGAAATAAACTTCATTAACACATATTTCATGTAGGATATATACAAATATTAATATACAGAAAAGATATATGAGGGGCCATATATATCAATGTGTAATATTTCACTAAATTAATTTGATAGAACAAATTGAAAACTTTTTTTTTTCAATTTGGGAACACTTTAAAAGTGCGTGTGGCACAAAACTCCGAAGGCGATGTAATTAGGTTGTTCAGAAGTGGGAAGCGAACAAGAGTACACGTCAGCATAATGATTGGTTGGAATGCGTGAACTTTCAACGACCCCTATTACGAAGCGAGCGATCACGCTGTTATTGTACAAATGAAATGCACGGCGACGAAATCGTCGGTTCCGTAGTTAACGCATATACAATAAAATTGTTAGTCAGTCTTTCTAAACAACTCCGATCGCTATGAATCGACCATTGTGACCTTATTTACGATCACAATGATTGGGATAATGTTTTATTTGTGACCGCGCATAATATTTTGATACATAAAACGCCAGTTTGTTGTCTCAATGGGTCAGCCAGCGGTTGAGATTGAACAAATACAAGTTTTCTTTAGTGGACTGAATAAACCAAAATAGTTTAAATCAAAACAGAAATTGTTTCATTGTAGTGTATATACTTTTTACTGAATACTCTAATCGTTACAAATTAAAATATGTTTATCATGATATTTCAAACGTAGTTCATTGTCGAGAACAATGAGAACATCGCGTTGTTGGTGTTGTAATGCAAGATTGTCCTCAATTTGACTATGTCCAAGTTATTCATTTTGATAATACAATTATTTTATAGGCTATACCTGTTTTAACATTCGATTTACCCGTATGGATATTCTTTTTTTCCTAAAAAGAAACTCTTGTGTTGACACTGTATCAAGTCAAGTTTTGGCCGCTAGATAAAGCCCAAAATATCATGTCTACCGTGAACAGAAGCACTACATTCAAGCACCTTCTCTCGTTTGTATTTGATCACGATGCGCTTAAATCTTTGATTCGACGTAAAATGGCGAAACGTACAAAAGCTCGAAATATATTCTCGGCGCCCTCCATTTTGTTTAGATAGCTTACGTGTATCGTCGGCGCATTGAAATTTCAAACTTGAAACAATGCGACTAAAACGTGAAAAATAGGGAACAACCAAGAATGGACCCCACGAACGATGTAGTAGTTAATTTTTATAGCTTAGCATAAAGAGATTCTATCCTAATAATCTACTTCGCCTGTCGCTGTTATACCAACAGAGACGTTTGGGACAATTATAATAATAACAACAAACTACAAAATATACTTTTACAAAGTGATTTTCTTCTTAAAATGTGATATAGAGTGTCTGCTACCCCACGGAAGTTTAACTTGTTTCGTATTAGCGCAACAAGTTCATATTTATATGATTTTCTTTGCATTTTTGCCTGTTTCATTAATTATGGAAGGTGTACTCCGACGGATCCCTCGGTCTATATTTGTCTGGTCTCTGGTAAACAAATGACATTCTAGTACCACAGGGTAATGAAAAAAAATGACTCTTTAAATTCAATAGTTTTAATTTTGTTGAAACCATTCCGTGATTATTCATGTCCATATTTTTGAACTTTTAATAATATAACAAGCCGTTTCCAATGTGTTGTTACAAAAAGTATTGTGTGCTGAGAAAACTTGCATTTTAAAAAGAATTGTGGTTTCGGTATAGCTTTGAAATTGATATCGTTGCAAGTTTTCCGCTTTCCCGGTGTAAAAAATAATAATTTTAAAATACGTTATAACTCGATTATTTGAATTCATAAGTATAGTAAAATTGAAATAAACTAAATATTAGTAATGCTTCAGACATTATAAAACATATCATGCCTCGATTTCATTAATATGGAATGAGAATATATCTTCTTTAGAGCAGGAGATAATCCGAAATCGACGAGATCACAATATTTCCTATACTGACGACCAAAAATATTTTTTAATGGGAGATGACACAGGTGACGAACTCATTGCCAAAGAAGGCGGTAAAAGCATCATTTGCTCGACAAAGCTATTTCTACCATTTGGCTCATGCATTAATGATAAGGCGTTCTCTGTCTCGTTGCGGCAATGCCGGTATACACTGTGAAAATGTGTGAAAACTACTTCATGTCGTTTGCGATAATACAATGCGATCATGTCATTAGCCTTATGTACCATATTCTAAAAAATAAAAAGTAAAGTCTACAAAATTCTTATCTATTTTATGCGGTTGTATATATTTGTTTCTTCTAAATTACTTCAAAATTCAAGTTTTATTTACAAACATTTTCCAAAGTACAGGATCACTTTCACGCGGGATCTAACTGGAGTCGCGTAACATTACGAATAGCAATGTGCTTAGCCGTGGATTACCTGACTAATCTAATTGGCGAAGGTTTCGCAGCCGCCCAAGGATTTGAAACCCGTTAAATATGCATTAAACTACACGGAATCGCATTGATAATGTGACTCGGTGGGAATCAAATATGTTACGGTCTAGAAAAGCGATTCGCAAATTACTATAAACGTATTATGCCACCGGAAAATTGGCGGATACCGTTTCAACAATTTCCGATTAAATGCATTCACGTTGATTTTGTTTCATATTATTTTAACTGTGATATCTGTTTTGAGAAACGATACGCATACTTATTAAATTAGTTTTTTTGATTTTAATTTAGCGACACAACATGATATAAAGTTAAAACAATCGCCGTTATTGCTTAAATAAATATGGCATCCCTGAAGTTATAAATGTTGCGTCGACCTGTCATCCACAGAATTATCACATGGCAGGCGAATTATGGAAAATAATTTTTTTCGCCGCAAATGTGGTTCCTTCAGATGTGTAATGGAATTTCGCCATTTCCCATTATACGGTCAGCCATCCATATGGCGCCTTTGGATTTACTTTACAATTGAATATATAATGGTATATATTGAAACGTGTAGTGCACTGTTATAAAAGTCAAGTAAATTTTACGTACTTTTCAAAATGCCCGTTTAGAATGACTCATTTTTTTTTCAAATCTAATTGCTGCTATGGAGGATATTATAGAAAAGACTATGCGCCCAAAAGAAATTGTTTTAATGGATCGAGTCGTTGTAGTTACTTTGAAATATCATTTAATTTAGTTGGATTTTATGCAGCGTGTGCTATGATGTGAAAAACAAATTGCAGGAAGTTTTCGTGTCCGTTCTTCCGATGCGATGCCTAATCGGACGCCCTCATGGGACAGTAGAGAAGTGAGACGGGACAAAGCCAGCGAAATCGGAGTCGTCGCGCGGTCATCAAGGTCGTGCATGCTGGAAAATAATGTCTTCTTCATAAAAAAAAATTGCCATTTGTTCTTCATAACTTACCAACGTTGGAAAAAACTGATCATGGCATTGCATTTGCATTCTGTCCCAAACATTTTGTTCATATTAAGGATATCACGTGGGAACTAATTATAGAGAATATTACCAAAAAATGTTAGTGTCTCGTAATAATCCGTTAGTTAAGGATTGATATTGTAGATTGGGTATGTAGAACTAAAACATGACTCCACCAAATTCATATTCATCATATTGCATTTCGTCTTTGCCAATTTCGTCATTGTAGTCACATTTTCATATTTGAGCCTATGCAAGGTGATGTTACATTTCCCATTGATGGTAACCGTCCACGCGAGGCCGGTTACCATATCTATTTCATTACAAGTCTCCTCTCGAAAAATATTATTTTATTTTCATTCCAGTCAAATCGCTAATGGATCGCTTTACTGAAACATACCGTATCGATGTATCATGGGGAAACCATAGACGTATAGGCATGTATCTTCCACTCTCATTTTTGATAATATAAAAACCATGTACCAAGGCATTCTCTTTTATATATCTTATAACTTTCCTGCAAAGACAAAAAACAACGACGCGGGTCGGAACACGAAAAATCTAAAAGGTCGTTCCGCGTATTAATAGTGTCTTAATCCTCAGTCCGAACTACGCCTACTCAAAATCATTTGTACCGTGCCTAATTTCTAAATCCGCATAAGGACAGTGGCGTAACGGAGGTTTTTACAATACGATGATGTTTGGTTTGTAGATTTGCTTCATATGACCGTGTCAATACACTTACTCGAAATACTTCGTCCCGATGACCAATGATGGAACCACCAAACGTTTTACAATCCGCACTTACACAGGTTCACACCTGTAGTTGGCTATGGAACACAGTGAACATATCATATCCTTAAAACGCCATGAAGTACTGCTTTGCAAGTTGCTGATGTCGCGGGAAGCGATCAGTCAGTACATTCTTAATTCTGCGGTTGAATTTCATAATTTGACAGAAAGTCACAAAGAATTCTCATGAAATCATCCCACTTATTTACGTGAGAATTTCATCCCAAAACTTGTGAACTTGGAGTCTTATAATTGCTATAATCTAAGTGAATTGCTTTGAATAATTCACGACGTCGTGTTTTGAAGTGTGACTGCAAAACTACGTTGTGTCTTTGATACTATCTTGCGCGTTCTGTACCTGACAATACAAACATCAATAATAAAAAATAAGATTACGAATAATTTTCTTTTGTAGAAAGTACTCTGGAAGGAAGTACCTATTCAGGAGAAGGTGGGGCTGAAGACAATGATTCCGATCCCTGCAAGAAGCCACAAAAGAAGCGAGGAATTTTTCCAAAGCAAGCAACAAATATCATGAGAGCATGGCTCTTTCAAAATTTAACAGTAAGATCTTTTACTCTGAAGCGTAACCTCAAACATTAGCGTATCGTTTCAATCGAAATAAAAAAATGTTCTTTTGTATTACACCTTAAAATACGCCGAGACTATAAGCGTACTTTTAGTTTGTTCCCTAATGTTTCTCCACTTTATTATAGACTGACAACCTTACCCTATTTTTATTTTTATCCTGTTGATAAATTTATACTACTAATTAAAGCATAGACTTACATCTCCTAATGATGACTCACGTAAATAGCGCAGGTTATGTATTTATAAAGTTCAGAGTTTGTCCTATCATTTTTGACATATCGTGACGTCACTAACTATCAGATATTTTTAAACATTCCAATAAATATATTAAAGCAATTAGACAATAACGTACCTCGGACAAAATGTATTATGTAACACTGATTTGATTGTAATTCATAATTTCCATCACTTTTCAAAAACTAAACATGATTTAAATTTTTTCTTTACCATTTTTGAAAATGTTCAAAATACAAGTCTGTTTTGTAAAAGTATAACCATGTCACAACTCACAAGTCCCTTGTCTTTGAAAATAATTTTGTAACTTGGTCGCTATTTTCTTCAACATTCCTTCACGGTAGTATTAATAATTTTGGTTCTGTATTTATTAATAAGTTTTTCTCTCAATTCCACGGATCGTCTTCGTATGATAAAAGTATGTTAAAGGTACTTATCCGAAGAGAAAAGTCCTGTCCAAAAAAGTTACCATGTCAAAAAATTCGATGAAAAATCAATTCGAGCGAGTACGTATGCGACTCGGACACGAGTTTCATCGATTTCTTGCATACGCCGATTACATGACAACTTGGCAGGCAAAAATAAATAACAATCACTCATTGGAGCTTTTAAAAATCCCGAGAGCGAATTTTTGAGTAATACAGTTTGCCAGCATGTTTAGAAGTTCATTTTATTTTGTTTTTTCAATTGGCATCTTTATTATTTGCAACAATAGTACAATTTCGGAAAATTTTAAAAACGTCAAAAATTGTTACACAAAATACAAACGTTAACGGCAAATAACGCTGACATGTCGCTGGCGAACACAGAGGCCAAAGGCTTTGCCATATAGCCCGCGGCGAAGTCATCGACATGCGTCGCGCGCAGGTCCGCTTTCATCTTGCTCTAGATGTGCCCAGGTGCCAGGTGCGGTGGTCCTATCACTCGGTATCTTGATGACTTACGCCCGAATAATGCCAAAGCCTTATGATCTTAATATCTCGTAATACAGAATTACATCGCGGTTTAATAGTTTGCCATCTATTATCCCACAGCAGTAAGATTACTAATTTAACTACAGAACCAAACTGAATCTTTAGTATGGAAATCAAACTCAATCTGCCTTTTCTCCTTACAGCATCCTTATCCGTCCGAAGAGCAAAAGAAATCACTAGCTAGCCAGACAGGATTAACCATACTGCAAGTTAATAACTGGTAAGTAACAAAGTGTTGTTTAGGCTCACACCCAAGATTATCAAACGTATCATTAGGACTTTTTGAATCAGCGAGTTATTTTCTCGCACTTTTAACTCCATAAACTATCTGTTTAAAACGCGTCACATTTTTTGTAATCATTCAGAATCTTAATTTTTTTTGTGATCAGCACTTGGTCCTGAAGCATAGATTTTATATCACAGATTACGATTTCAAATACTTGGTTATGTAATTCAATGGTTATCAGAATTTGCTAACGCCTCACCAAAGGCGGTCAGACAGAATATGCTGATTTGAAAAATACATTTGTTATAATACAATATTTAAAAATATCTAGGCGCCTACTTTGTTCGGCGGATTCAAAAAATGCACATTGCTGTAGACTTTCAGTGTCCGGTCGCAATTATAGCTTATCACCAAATTCCATTGTCAGATTTCGACGCCTAAAATTTGGCCGCCAGGCCTGCAAACGGTCGTTGTGCGTTCCGGTGGATTCGGTTGCCTAATCTGCAAATGATCACAGGGGGTTTATACCACGCTCGTGGCAGTTTTGCTAGTTGGACTTTTCGTACACGAGCTAGGAAAGTTGAATAGGATTAGATAAGATTTGAATGCCACCCACTGCGTCGTAATTCAATCCAGTCATTGACTTTTCATTGTCGTTGCGTTTGAACTTAGAATACATTTTAAGAGTCAGGACGAAAAAATCTGAGAGAGTTAGAATACACTTAATTCAAATAAACATTAGCCACATCTGATCATTTGTCTTTTCCATGCATGTTTGTAGTGGGATTTGACTAGCTTTTCGCGCGGATCCAAAATTTATTAAATCAAATAAACTATCCACAAACCAAATTCTACTGCTATCGAATGAAAATTTCTTGTAAAGCTGTATTACTCTAATTTGTCTAGATATTGCACAAACAATGATCAACTTTTAATGATTCCATCATTGTTTTGGTGGCTTTAGATATCGATGATTATCCAGCATGTTTCATAGATGTGCAGCACGTAATCCCATATATAAACGCGCTTGAGCGATAATATGTCATATATGTATGTACAGACCGAGAGGTTTTTCAAAATAGCAGACAAGTTCGTTTGACGTTATCTGTACAGGTTATTGAGCTACGGATGAGCGATAGGTTGGCTTACCTAAAACTGATCGGGCGATAAATTAACATTACTGTCGATCGAATGCCATATCTGTCTTTATTGAAACCCTATTATCCATTGACTTCCAAGCGCATCACGTACAGCCTACTTGCAGATTTGCGCCGTGAAGTGAATTCTTAAAGCGAAAAGAGCAGCGCTAGAGTGTATTTTCAATTTTTAGGACAACTTATAAAATTTTATTTCTTTGTATATAATATATTATTTCACTGTACCAATATATTCATGCAGTTATCTAATCATCTGTAGACGGTTCAGCAGTACTGAAATGTACAATTTTGCCATCTCTTCGATCTGGTAAGCGGAAAGAATTGATAAGATGTGGTATACTCCTTTGACGCGGTCGATCAGCGCTGTCTTTGATTGGAGATTAAATCGGGTATTTGTTGAAGGCAAAATAAATAAGACAATAAAACCGTATTAGATGTTACCGATTATTTTATTCGCCTAAATTTCTAACCACAAACTAAAGTTAATTTTGAAATGAGAGTTTAGGATGATGAAAGCTTGACTATTCTTCTTTGAAGATTTGAGGATAAGCTTTATAAAATTAGTTTTTTTTTCTGAGTGACAGTAATGCTCAACACTACAGTTTTTGATCAATTACATCAAAAATTGATACAACATACAATTCTTTTTTAATTCGTAACTTCGTTTTTTCAAGTTGTCAGTTTTTGTTTTTTCAATACCTTCCTGTCGAATTTCCCGTCAAAACGGATTGTTTTGTTCTATAATTACAAACAGACATGGTCAAAAATTAGATTTCTTCTGTGCAAGCAAACCTCACAAAAATAGAATTGTGTAGTAATGTAGAGTTGTTTAATGGCCGTGGGAATATCCTAATTCTGTGCTCAAGTCCGAAAAACAGGATTTTTCACATTCAACCAACCCTTCTCCACGACGATACAAGGCTGCAGTTACAACTATGTCAGACAAAAGTGTGATCAATTGGCATTGAAGTCGATGTCCGAGCCGTCGGGTCGATAGCCAAACCGTTTGTTTTTATATTTAGGCGCCAACACAAAGCTCTCGCAGACGAGGAGAATATGGTTTTGGTTGCGTTGTCCCCTTTGGAGAGGCGTCTGGGAAAACTCTCATTGTCGCTTCTGAAAATGTCGAAATTGATGTTTTCGAAAATACTCCATGTTATACACAGACGTAACATGAAATTCTGAGCCAATCGATGTACGTACTATTTATTCAATCACTGAGACCAAGCCAGCTATCTTCGCAATAAATTCCCAACGTCAAAGTCTCAAAGCGCCCTCGCGCGGTTCATACAATAGATTCGCGCGACGATCGTCTGTTTACAACGGACCATGTCATGATAAGTCGTTACTTCCATTCGTGTTGCTAATATAATCACTCGTTATTAATCGATCCATCAAACAATTGAATTTCAACACCTTTATGGTTACCAAACCTCAATGATGCCAAACACAGTAAAATTAACGCCTTTACACGCCGATAAGCTTCTGCGAATACTAGATGCGCTACTTGTTAATTTTCAAAAATTCTCCCGCCTACTTTTCTCATTCATATTGGCTTTTGTCGAAATATATTTGCCGGTCGTGCCCGCTCAATAGAATGATTTTACGGTGACAAGGAAAGTGTGGGTTTTGTGGTGATCTGGAAGGCCGGGCAAACAAGAGTAGTCACGAGCTACAGGTTTATTGTGCTACTCCTTATGCCGACAAAAAGCTCTTATACGTTGAATAACCAATGGAATGACATTCTGTACCTGATCGATCATATTGGGCGGGCTAGGACTGCCTTCCTATGACCTACGATATTATTGATTTGACAAACATGCCTTCACAAAGTAGGAATATCATCGTTCTATTGCTACCGTTATAAACACGGCCTCGCATTAGTGCAATAACTTGATCGAGTCATGCGTAGTTGACTGTGGAATGTCGACTTACACAACGCACTATGTAAAGCAAGAGACAATGGCAAAAATGGAAATAATGATATAAAAGGGTGGTCGCGATTTTGGCAATTTTATCAGTAGTTTACTTACCCCCAACCGAAATGTCATCATCCATCATTGGTTTCCGGGATTGTCTCATTGTTATTCATTTTTATCTAACTTGCACTAGGGTAACGTGTTAATCTGATAAATAATGATGTTGTCATTAGACTGCTTCATTCAATTCCAATATGTTTGGGCCAGTTAGGCACTTATTTGGGCATGGATAATGTTGCCATTCTCTTTTTACCCTTATTAATGAGAATATGGCGGCATTACAATATTCTCATTTCAAAATAATTAAAATAAATAACTGGTCACAGAGGCATTCCACTCGTCAATTCTCAGCATTGTTGTTTCAGATGACTTCACATTGTCACGTCACTGTAGTTATATTTTTACTATGTTGCTCATGACAACAATTCCGAAAAACATAGATCAATGAAGTTTGCCAACAGATGTGCTACCGACATACCCCACTACATAAACAACTGGTTGTCTTTAGAGTAAACGCGCCTATTTTTCATATTACATTTGCTGTCAGGAGTACAAAGGTTGGTAGTGTGTAAGGAACGTGCTCGAAACCCGACACATCGAATTCTTGTCCGATCAGTTGGATTCTAACCAGCTTGGATTTTATTTTCTTCATTCAATTCAATAAATTTTTTTAGAAAAGCCGTTTGAAAATGAGATATAACCACGGGGAGGGATAACACGACAAAAAATCCATCGTCCGTGTTTACTTACGCGATTTCACAAAAGATGGGGCGAGGCGCTAAGCACTCTAAAGGTCTGGTAATAGCTCAATATGGGCGGGAAATATATTTTATCCGCTGGGTACTGGAAACAAAAAAAAAAAACGACAAAAATTTGGGATGACGTCACCCAATCAGTCATCTTTTAGTTTGTACCCAAGCTTGAGCTTTTCTATATTATTGTCATATAAGATTCTTTGTTGATATTAATATACAAAATTATCACGGAAAGCGCCCCTGTTGCAAAATACGATTGCTTTAAATTTTCCATTTAGTCAAAAAATAAAATAAATCCCTACACATGGAAGAATTTCCGATGAAGTACACAAAACTCAAATAAAAATTTAAAATATCTTAATTTTATGTCATCAAACCATGTTATGTCAATGTTTAGCATATTGGTGGGTTTGTTTCCATCTTCATGCCCCGTTGTTACATCGCACTTGAGGTTCAGAATTCAAATTTTGTTTAGTGCGTTTGTAGGCATTGTTAACCAATAAACCGTATTGTTGGTTTTGCAGGCGATCTCACATAAAGGTCACCCATGAACACCAACGTTGACGGTTAAAGCAATTCAATACAAACGCGTAACAACGCCATTATATCCTCTCCGCCCGCTCACTTATATAACCATGTAACAATACAATGTAAACGTTTCTTTTCTCGCCAATTGTAATTAATGTATGATTGCGGTCAGGAATCCACCGACCCATTGTGAAATGGACGAAATTTTAGATGCTTTCAAATTTATCATATTTTTAAATGAATTTCAATCTATATTATGTATTTCCTACCTCAGTGGCAAAACGAGTAGAAATCCGCTGTACAGTGGGCGTTTTTGTCTGCAATATAAAATACAAAAACATTTTATTCAACAACCCTCTTGAACCGCAGACAAAGCAGGGCAAAGAGAGGCTTATAAATAGGAGATGAGCCCACGATTTGTTATGATGTTGTTTTTAACAAGAAAAACAATAATGTACTTCGTTCCCATTGTCGCCATCCCTAAGATAAACCCTCATGTCCGTCTGCGCTCTATATATGAAACATTGACCCACGATTTTGCTGTGCATATTTGGCGGGCAACACAATTTACTTTTTGACTGCAACGCCTACCTGAAGAATACTTTTGAATCATTTATGGCTATTGATGATAGTGATGGCTAAAAATAGAATTTACTACTCGAAAAATGAATTCACCAGTCGTTTTGTATTTGAAGGAACAGCAGTCAATCATTCGTCAGCCGTTTTCATGACTTCAAAGGTCACGCCCTTAAAATTTTAATCTTCGTTACTGTAAATAAGAATTATAGGATTGCTCTCGTGCGGGGGCTATCACGTACTGTTTGCAATTTGGATTTACAAACGATGGTTCCTTGTAGTGAATTCAAAAAAATTGTTGTTGATTGGCCTACTACTAAACTTCGGTCACGTCTCAGTTAAAAGGGATTTATTCAGCAACGCTAAATCTCAACAGAATACGGCCGTGTAAAGTAATTTTGTAATTGGACACGAAGTGGACCATTAGACCGTTTTGGTATTATGCTGTGATAGTTCTTTTTCTCGTTAGTATAAAAAAAAATCGCCTTTGTCTTTAATACTGGACCAATTGCTTTAAAATTTTCTGTGATTAAAAATTGTTGTTGTCGATGGAATGCTATTACTTTTATTTATTTCAAAATTTATGTGAGCTTTATGAGATTCGTTTTTTTGTCTGTAATTACGTCATCAAAATTAAAAATGGCAATTCGGCGTTTGCGTTCGTTATCGCTGCGGTGTGGAGTTTAGTCGAAGTTGAAAAGACTACGAAGGATTACAACATAGCCGTACTACCGCGTTTTGGTCTCCGTGCCCATCTATATGAGCATTCCGCTCTGGTTCTAATTTACGTGTGTTTCCTATTAAAAAGTTGATATTCTCACGCATCATGGTCCACCCTTATAGCTGGAATGTTGTATCATCTTAATTCACTTGTATATAATCTGCAATTATGTTCAATTTTGTTCATTTTGTTACATATGTTTTTATACGCTCCTGCGACGTTAGACATTGTAGAATCAAGACCTTGTTTTGAAATCAAATCCAATGTCCCAATGTTCGCCTTGGATTAAATTTGATCGGCTATATGCTAAAACGAAAAAATGCCGTTACTTTTGAAAGTCTACTAGCTAGAGCAGTTGTTTTCAACCTTTTTGGTGGAGAGGAACGCCGGTAAAACTTCTAGGCTGCTCAAGTAACCCCTGTGGAATGGTTTAATTATATGAGCTATAAATATGTATAAAAGCAAATCTAATACTGCCAAAAAAATGGTCTTTAGGTGGAGCATGTTTAATATTAGTGGCAAACCTAATACTGATTTAATTTTATTCAAACAATAGACATATTTGAATCGGATTTGTATGAAAACTCGCGGAACTCCTGGACTGTACTAGCCGAACCCCGTGGTTTAAAACCACTGGTCAAGGGTCTTGCTGTTAGCGAAAAGTATCATAAAATATCAAGCACCAATTCAGAATATAAAGGAAAAAATGTATTAAATACAAAAAATGACTTTGTTGTTATGAAATTTATTGGAAAGTAAGCGTAATTTAATTTCTGTAAGTGATGTCGTCTGAGTAACGAGTCTCACACAATTAATCCAAGTTCAAATATTAAAAATTGTTATTATGATCAGGCAATTTTTTCTTTATCTGAAGCGGTATTGGCTACCAACTTAAATTTCCTAATGAATGAGCTGGGAAAGCAACTTTGCGGGATTTCGGAAATGGATGGTTAATGACTCGTAAATTCAACAAATAACATCACTCTATAACGATATAATATATACTGTAACAGCTTGTATTGTATCACTAACACCGGTGTCATTTTAGGGTCATCGATTCACAAAGCATTATCCTAGTGGAACGCGGGTTAGCCTTTCAATACCTTTAGCGCGGACTTTACTGCGGTAGGCTGCTTATTTGTCGAACCATATCGCCACCTAGAGGTATGTAACTTTGAAACCAGTGTGACGTTTTTGTCATTAGGTCTCGTCTTTCGTCAGCAGCTCGTGTCATGGTGGCACGCAGCTATATCTAATAGGCGTGTCGCGAGAGAATATTTCTGGATCAGATGTACGTGACGTTTCAATGAGGCATCGGCTTACAAATGGGTCACCTGGACATTATATCGAACGTTTATATTTTGGCGCAGCAGGTGGTATACTGCTTTTTACCCAGGTGGGGTAGCCGGACAATTGGGTATCACGTATTTCACGCACGATCTGTATCATGCCCACCACAATATTTAATTTAGACAATATAATATAGATATCGCGACTTCATTACATTCCAGTTTTGGATACCCCATACATTCTGCCAGAAAGTCAGCAATCCTGATACGGTTTTACTGACTCACAGAAAAATAACGTATTAAAGTTTTAGGTGGTGTGCGTACTCATAAACTCAATTTTAGACCAAATTTATTTGCGGCTATTGTCGATACTTGTTATAGGATTTAGTTGAAACCATTCAGAAGCGAAAGATTTGAAAATTAGAAAAATTGAAAACACGTTCCAACTTTGATACTTGCAATGACCCGCGTCGACAAACTTTCGCTCGATCGCGAATCACCCCACTCAGCTTTTATCCCATTATTGCACCCACAAAACAAACTACGCGCTTGGGTGAAACTGAGTACCTGTCAGAATATCGTCGGTCGTATTTCATAAATCCTTACGTGTACACGACGTCTTCCCTTGTTATTAGGTGTTCCACAGCTCATTCAAAGATGAGAGTTATATAATATTGTTTGCCGTTCTATATTAAATTCACTCGTACATCTCCTTGTTGTGTTACTAATGTTATGTAAAATGGTCAGCCATTGACAATTCAACCGTAACCTTAGATGCAATTACCTTATCTCAAGCGGGGGTCCCCACTATTAAGAGTGTTGGCGTCTGGCTGAGCCCCAAAATTTTGTTTTTAGTTATCGCCGGATTAACAGCGGTTTACCGATAACTCAATGCTAATGAGAAAACTCAATTAGCCGCTGTCTCAGTAGGTGGTGTGATTGGGGCAAAACATTTTTCAACCTGAAAAATTTACATCAGCACAAATTATCAGTCACATTTACGGACGATCTCCACAATACCACAAGTATTTTAATTTGAATTAATAGTCGCGCGGAAGTGCGTATAACAGTTCCTGTAATGGCATCATCAGTATGAGTGTTACAAGCCCATTTATAGTCGTCCTCGCCAACGCTAGTACGTTTAATGAATTGTTTTTCTTTGTGGAGCCAATGGTTTTTTTCGTGAACTCGGTCGGACATGCTCAATGAAACCTTTCGTGGAACACGGTCACGCGCAATTAATTCGACAGAATGCACAACAGTTTTTGACAACAATCATCTCCGGCAAAAACCACAAATTTTTGTATACCACAAAGTGATGCTCAATCCGTAGACTAAAGTCGGTACTGGATCACTTGCCAGTCATCGATTTTTATTAAACTTAATTTTATGTGACGAATATAGTATGCTTATATAGTGCTTTTTTTGATAGTTTTCTACTATGCAACCTGTTTGTGACCCTTAGTCGAACGCTCCGTACGATGTGAAAAGTTCACGCTGGGGTTCTGTCATAGCGTAACCTAACACCGCCTCCCCTTTCGACTGTGTCTTGCTTCGATGGCGGTACACTATAGAAATGGGAATTCCTTTGCTATTGTTGTTAATGCATTTGCGAGAAAAATGCTTTTTCTTTGCTAAGCTACAGAACAACAGATGTACTCGATGCGCTCCATAGATTTTCCTGATTATCGTTCCGATTTCTGGTAGGCAGTGGGTAGCGCAAAATTGCCGAGATAGTTATCTTTTCAGTGCAATGCGATAATAAAGACGGATGAAAGTTGTACAGTGTGCTTTCATTATAATTTAACTTCGTTACTGAAAGGTTTATCGATTAAAATTTCAACAGCAGAAGTAACTTTCCTTGTATGTGGTAGTTTTATTTCATCCCGCCATTTTTTTTTATAAATAGCTATCGTCATATCATTATTAAAATATGTTCATGGCAGGTATTGTTTTCAAACAAATATTTAGTGCTTTCACATATTATTTTGAAAGTGTTTCCATTTTTATTTTAGGTTTATCAATGCAAGGCGGAGAATCGTGCAACCCATGATTGACCAATCAAATAGAGCAGGTTTGTTTGTATTCATTTTATCTATTCGCCCTGATATTTATTCCGGAAAATTGTGGGATTATTTGTACAAAGATCCCGCCAACGTTCAAAATAAAAAAAATAGTAGGTATAAATTTAGGGTTAGGAATGCAGATTGCGCTGAAAATTCAAATTTTCAAATCATTCCTAATCCTAACTGGATAATTACTAATTTTTATTTTAAAACGTGACGGGGTGTTTTCCTCAAATTTCACATTTTTGAATCAGTGGCGGGGGCTTTGTACAAAATATCCAAATGTTGGTATTGAAATGAATTAGACTTGTTTTTCTCGCTGGCTTCAATAATAATCTTCGTCAGATTGTTTGTGAATAGCAGTACAAAATGTACTTTCATCGTGCGTTTGAATGGTTACTTTTCCTCGTGCTTCATACACAATCTTTAAAAACGCGATATAGTTTGATATGCATATAAAAAGTATTTCCTACCTACGTTTTGTTGCCCAAAATCGTAACATTAGCCAGTAATAGTTGCGAAATGCAGAGAATACTAAAAGCTTGAAAGTTTTTAGTTGACCGTTCACCAGTCGTTTCCTTATAATGTCGCGTATTTTTATCTCGGTTTCTAATCGACGACCTTTTAGCAGTAAAACTTGTATGCTTATTAATATTTCATTATATCTAAGTGATATATTATGTCGCTGATCTAAAAGATTCCGTTATCAAAAAGCATTTTCTGAATCGTTCGAATATTCCCGCAAGTATGAGACATACGTATTTCGTTAAATGCGCATATCATGTAAGTTCATACTTGAAGAGGATCATGCAAACATAAGAAATCGACGTTTGGACGGAGCTAAAACATTGGTATCTTTCCGTTTGTAGTATTTTCGTACCAGACGTTGAAGTTCTGTTTCTTTTCATTACATATGCCTAACTCATGCCATGTTTTACGTCTGCCAATTTTTTATTATTTTTTGCATTTGAGATACTAAAATCTCTCCCCATTTATTTAATATGCTTGATGCGTCCTTGCATGTGCAAAAATTTATAATGTTCTTTTGTTTTAGTGAGTGGTGCAATGGGCGGTTACAGTCCTGATGGTCAACCCATGGGTGGATTCTTGATGGAAGGACAAGGCCCTCATATGCCATTGCAATACGGCTGGCCATCAGGTGCGGTATTTATACTTTAATCATTCAGTATTACACTTGTGCGACTAATTTTTTATAATAATAATTTTTGTTTTATGTATTATAGGTATGCAAGCGGCAGACATGATGGCAGCTAGAAACATGCAGTTTAATCCTTCTGTAACGATGTCACCATCGCACCATCATCATCACGGAGCAGGAGCTGGCGGCCTATCTCATCAATTACGGCCACCCCCGGTACACACACAGGCTATGGCGCTGCTTCCAGGCCAGTACCCAAATCCGCACGCTGCTGCAGCAGCAGCGATGATGATGCCTCATCACACTGGACCGGGTCTCGGACATTCTCATAGCCATCACCCCGGACAAAGCCCGACAGGCAGCTTTAGTGAATCATATCGGTACCCTGGCTCTCACGTGTTAACTATTGCTGGCGTTGAACAAAATTGATGTTTTGTGTTCAAGAGTGAAGCTTACTCGTGCTGGCCATAACCGAGTACATGTTTGTTGGCGACGCGTAAAGATCTCACATGTGATGTCGATTGTCGGATGAAGTCCCAACTGTACCATCGCGGAAAACTACGAAAACACCCTGGTTTATATTCAAAGAAGCCGTCCATGATTTCAAATACTGATGCCGTATGTGCAGAATGACATACAATTCATTTTATCATCGACGATGACATCAAATTCAGTCAATCATCGAGAACGTAAAATTTGATTTCTATAACAGTTTACTGTAGGATTGGACTAATTGCGATTGATACTTGATTTTACAATAATGTACAGAATAACAAAATTCCTGGAGAGCAAACTTCATGACCCGCAGAATTTTTAAGAATTTATATAAATAGTTTTATAATCTAATAGCGTGGAAGGTCAAGAAGTAATTTCAAATTCAACCCTACAAGGGTTTCCCTACGCCACAATAAATATAAGCGCAGAATTTGGTCCAAACACTGGATTATTTTTTATTAGAACTTAAATGACATTTAACTACTACCGTAAAAATTTTAAGTTGTTTCCTCTGCGTCCGTGAAAGTGCTTCGGAATGGGGCCAATTTGTATCCTTAAAAACGCACAAAAAATATTGTCTATCCTTGTAGCTCGTCTCAGGGACGCTGGGGAAATGCTATCAGAAATAAAAATTTTAAAGGAAGTAAACAAATTTGTATCATTGGAAGATAAAGTTGCAACAGTTGCTCAGTTCACACAAATAATTAAATCTAATCAATGTAATAAACCTCCAGATTATTATACATGTGTCGAATGTGTTTTCATTATTATTTTTATTGTTCACAACATTCACAAGCACCGTTTCTTTGTTTTTGTATTTCATTTTTTGCTCTGACGATGAGCTTTCTTACATTCTTTTTAACATTGATTCTTTTCTATTGTTTACTATTATTGTTATTATTATTAATATTGTTATTCTTAAATTTCCAGTATTCTTATTCTATCGACTCAAAGAACGAAGAATTTTAATAAAGGGTAAAGGCGATCGTGTTTTTTTGGTTTGATTTCTGAAATTGCACTGCACCATTCCCAATGTAAAATTTTTACTTTTGGCAAAACATGCTTTAGCTGTTAAGGGAGTACTCCCGGGGACTGTCTATATTAGCCAAGCGAATATACCCGCTGCCCATAGGCTTCCGTCCTTATACTCAGCTTGATGGTATGGCAACCCGGTAGCACTTTAGTGCGTATGCACAGTATAGATCAAAAGTCTTTGCACAGAAGACAAAAAGCTGGAAGTACTCTCTGGGAGCACTCGTAAATCACTATTATCTGAAGAACCGAAGGGCCGATCAGGACGAAACTTGGCATGTAGCAGGGGACATTTACCAAATGAACACAGAAAATTTTTGGGAGCGATCGGGCCAAAGGAAGTGGGCCAAAACGGTAATTTAGTGGCCCGGAGCTGCTGATTGGTCAATCGGCTGTCCATCAAGTCACGCAAGAGTGGGTTTGGGGTTTAGAGGCCGTTTAGCTCCGTTTCCGGGGCCAGAAAGCGTTTGCCCGAGTATTAGGAATTTATCCAAGTATAATTGGGGGTGGGGGCACCGCCACCGCCCCCTCAATGGTGAGAAAACGTGTGGAAAGCCACGCCCACTTAGGTAATATGGTTTTTGGGCGAATAGGAGCACTTGGAATCGGTTTTCGGGCAAAGCGATGCATAAATATCGAAGGGACTAATTAATAGAATATATCACCACCCGAACTTTGGGGATTCCCCGTCCGTGTAACGGTCCAGTGAGTTCGGAATGTTGCGCTTAAGAATTGAGATATTGAGAAAAAAAAATACATAGGTAGGTTGAGAAAGTTTAGTTTAATACTTTTTTCAAGAAATTTTTTTGCTCCCGTGCCTCCGTCACGGTCTAGTGATTTTGGCCTTTTGCCGGCTTCAGAGAGGTCTTATCAAGAATCTAAAGGCATGGGCATGATCAGAAAAATTATTCCAATCACGTATCAGCAAAATTTTTTTTCTAGTAGCCTCCAGTAACGGTCCAGTGATTTTCTGCCATATCTCGAGAACGGTGATAGACAGGGGTCTCATATTTGGGTTATACAAGGTAGTTGGAGTAAAGTTTCTGCCTATAAAATTTCGTCACGGTCGAGTGATCACGGACCTTAAAATTGATAAAAATCGACATCCATCAAGTGTGATCAGTTTATGACGTGTTATTTAAACTACTGAATGAACTAAAGTGGCTGGGGGCTACGCGCCGGACGAATTTCCGCCATTCGTCCGGCGCAACGACCCTGGTGCATCCAACAAACTCATAATGAAACATACGCTCGTTTATACTCAAATATCTCCCTTACATTTCCCCTCGCGGGTAGCGCAGCGACCGTCCCTGGATGGTAAGGCAAGTATATAGCAGTTTAGTGCTATAGCACAGTATGGATCAGAATTCGTTGCACGAAAGGACTGGTATAAAGTATATTTGCTAAGGGCCTACGGGTTACCATTTCGAGAAAAACTGGCGGGCCGATTGGGACAAAATTTGGCATGTAGGTCGGGGACAGTGTCGGTATAACGCAGAAAATTTTTGGGAACGATCGGGCCAGAGGAAAAGGGCCAAAACGGGCTTTTAGGGGCTCAAGGCTGTTTATTGGTCAATCAGCTGTCAATCAAGTCACGCTACAGTGATTTTGGTGTTTAGAGGCCGTTTAGCTTCGTTTCCGGGGCCAGAAAGCGTTTGCCCGAGTATTGGGAATTATACAAGTACTATTGGGGGTGGGGCACTGCCACCACCCCCCCAGTGGTGAGAAAAACGTGTGAAAAGCCACGCCCACTTAAGCAATAGGGTTTTGGGGCGATTAGGAGCACTTGGAATCGGTTTTTGGGCAAATTGATGCATAAATATCGAAGGGACTAATTAATAGAATATATTACCACCCGAACTTTGGGGAATCCCCTTCCCCGTAACGGTCCAGTGAGTTCGGAATGTTGCGCTTAAGATTTGAGATATTGAGAGAAAAAAATACATAGGTAAGTTGAGAAAAATTAGTTTAATACTTTTTTCAAGGAATTTTTTTCCTCCCATGCCTCCGTCACGGTCTAGTGATTTTGGCCTTTAGCCGGCTTCAGAGAGGTCTTATCAAGAATCTGAAGGCATGGGCATGATCGGAAAAATCATTCGAATCAGTTTTGGGTAGAATTTGTTTTCTCCCACATGTCAGTCACGCTCCAGTGATTTTAGGTCATATCTCGAGAATGGTAATAGATGGGGATGTAATATTTGGGCCATACAAGGTATATAAAGTGAAGATAATGACAAAAAAATTTCGTCACGGTTGAGTGAACACGGACCCTAAAATTGATAGAAATCGATTTCCATTAAGAGTGATCAGTTTATGACGTATTATTTAAACTACTTAATGGACTAAAGTGGCTGGGGGCAGTGCGCCGGACGAATTTCCGCCATTCGTCCGGCGCAACGACCCCGGTGCAACCATCAAATTCATTATATAACATCCGCTTTTTTATACTCAAATCTTTTCCTTACATTTCCCTCGCGGGTAGCGTAGCGACCTTCCCCTGGATGGTCAGGCAAGGAAAAGCACTGAAAGTGCGTATGCACAGTATATATCAAAATTCGTTGCACGAAAGTTAATAGCTAAACTATAACCTCTGAGCGTATATGATTAAGCATTTCCCAGACAACTGGCGGGCCAATCCGGGCGAAACTTGGCATGTAGCTGGGGGCTGTTACCAAACGAACACAGAAAATTTTCGGGAACGATCGGGCCAAGGGAAGTGTGCCAAAACGGGCATTTAGTGGCCCTGGCGTGGCTACCTGTCAATCAAGCTGTCCTTCAAGTCACGCAAGAGTGATTTTGGGGTTTAGAGGCCGTTTAGCTCCGTTACCGGGGCCAGAAAGCGTTTGCCCGAGTATTGGGAATTTATCCAAACATGTTTGGGGGTGGGGGCACCGCCACCGCCCCCTCAGTGGTGAGAAAACGTGTGGAAAGCCACGCCCACTTAGATAATATGGTTTTTGGGCGATTAGGAGCCTTTGGAATCGGTTTTCGGGCAAAGTGATGCCTAAATATCAAAGGGACTAATTAATAGAATATGTTACCACCCGAACTTTGGGGATTCCCCTTCCCCGTAACGGTCCAGTGAGTTCGGAATGTTGCGCTTAAGATTTGAGATATTTGGAAAAAAAAATACATAGGTAGGTTGAGAAAATTTAGTTTAATACTTTTTTAAGAAAATTTTTTCGCTCCCATGCCTCCGTCACGGTCTAGTGATTTTGGCCTTTTGCCGGCTACTGGAAGGTCTTATCAATAATGTAAAGGCATGGGCATGATCAGAAAAATTATTCCAATCACGTATCAGCGGAATTTTTTTTCTAGTAGCCTTCAGTCACGGTCCAGTGATTTTCTGCCCTATCTCGAGAACGGTAATAGATGGGGGTCTCATATTTGGGGTATACAAGGTAGTTGGAGTGAAGTTTATGCCTAAAAAATTTCGTCACGGTCGAGTGATCACGGACCTTAAAATTGATAAAAATCGACATCCATCGAGAGTGATCAGTTTATGACTTGTTATTTAAACTACTGAATGAACTAAAGTGGCTGGGGGCTACGCGCCGGACGAATTCCCGCCATTCGTCCGGCGCAACGACTCTGGTGAATCCAACAAACTCATAATGAAACATACGCTCATTTATACTCAAATATCTTCCTTACATTTCCCCTCGCGGGTAGCGCAGCGACCGTCCCTGGATGGTTAGGCAACACAGAGCACTTTAGTGCGTATGCACAGTAATGGTCAGAAATCTTTGCGCGTAAGTCGGAAAGGGCTAGTCGAAGATATGTAGGGCAGACCACTCGAGTTACCATTTCCCAGACAACTGGCGGGCGGATCGAGACGAAATTTGGCATGTAGCGGGGGACAGTTACCAAACGGACACAGAAAATTTTTGGGAGCGATCGGGCCAAAGGAAGTGGGCCAAAACGGGTTTTTAGTGGCACGGGGCTTGTTATTGGTCAATAAGCTGCCAATCAAGTCACGCTAGTATGATTTTGGGGTTTAGAAGCCCTTTGGCTGCGTTTCCGGGCCGGGAAAGGGTTTGCCAGAGCATTGGGAATTTATCCAGACATGTTTGGGGGTGGGGGATGTGCCCCCGCCCCCCCCAGTGGCGAAAAAACGTGTAGAAAGTCACGCCCACTTAGGTAATATGGTTTTTGGGCGAATAGGAGCACTTGGAATCGGTTTTCGGGCAAAGCGATGCACAAATATCGAAGGGACTAATTAATAGAATATATCACCACCCGAACTTTGGGGATTCCCCGTCCCCGTAACGGTCCAGTGAGTTCGGAATGTTGCGCTCAAGAATTGAGATATTGAGAAAAAAAAATACATAGGTAGGTTGAGAAAGTTTAGCTTAATACTTTTTTCAAGAAATTTTTTTGCTCCCGTGCCTCCGTCACGGTCTAGTGATTTTGGCCTTTTGCCGGCTTCAGAGAGGTCTTATCAAGAATCTAAAGGCATGGGCATGATCAGAAAAATCATTCCAATCACGTATCAGCAAAATTTTTTTCTAGTAGCCTTCAGTAACGGTCCAGTGATTTCTGCCATATCTCGAGAACGGTAATAGACAGGGGTCTCATATTTGGGTTATACAAGGTAGTTGGAGTAAAGTTTCTGCCTATAAAATTTCGTCACGGTCGAGTGATCACGGACCTTAAAATTGATAAAAATCGACATCCATCAAGTGTGATCAGTTTATGACGTGTTATTTAAACTACTGAATGAACTAAAGTGGCTGGGGGCTACGCGCCGGACGAATTTCCGCCATTCGTCCGGCGCAACGACCCTGGTGCATCCAACAAACTCATAATGAAACATACGCTCGTTTATACTCAAATATCTCCCTTACATTTCCCCTCGCGGGTAGCGCAGCGACCGTCCCTGGATGTTCTCCCGCCCACGTCCCGTGATATGGTGGCGATAGCCACAACAAAAAACAAAAGCCAGCGGCCAGAGATAT